TTCGAAGCAAAAATCAAGCCGAATCACCGAAATCCACCTCTTTGATACTCATTATCTTCACCAGGATGCTCGTCAAAGAATTCAGAATAAAGAAATAGCAAGTTAAAAGAAACATGCTTAAAATTGGCTTAAAAAACCAATTTTTCATGTATCAACCGCATTGAGTGCTTAGGCGCCCAAACTTGGAGCTTAAGTACCAAGTGCTCTGTATCGGCACATATGTGCCAATAGATCTGCACTTATGCGTGGTCTCTCAGGAAAGCGCGCCCGCACCATGTAGGGTGCTTAGGCGCCAAATAGCCGGCGCATAGGCGTCGACCTTTCTGTTTTCGAGCGCTTAAAAACTCATGGTTGGCGCCTAAGCACCAGCCTTAAATGTTGCTTGAAATATTTTGGCTCCACATTACATAACAATCTCCCACTTGGAGACAAAACATCGAGCACCAGTCCTCTGTACCTGTATCTTCATCCGAACCGCCTTCGAAGACACGTATTGTGGTCATGTACCGTGGTGTGGCTCACCCTCGGTCTCAACCTTCATAAAACTCAACTGAAGCCAAACATAGCTTCAGTTTCTCAACAATCACCACCTTCATCGACATATCCGCAAGATTTTCAGCTGTATGTATTCTTTCCAGAAATAATTGTCCATCTTCTAGAAGAGATCGAATGAAATGATACCTAAGCTGGGATATGTTTCTTCCTAACATGAAAAACAATGTCCTTAGCATAATGAATCACATGCATACTGTTACTGTAGAGTTTTCCAATCCCCTGCTCCTTGTCCAATTCTAGCATGAAGTTTTATAGCCAAATCATCTTCTTACTAGCCTCAGTGATAGTAATATATTCGGCCTCCTTAGTTGAAAGTGAAATGATCTTCTACAACCTGAAAACCCAACTCACTGTTGTGTTCTCAAATGTAAAGATATACATTGTTGTACTTATACCATCCACATCTCCTGTCAGATCTGAATCTACAAATCTGTAGATTGGTTGCTGCATTTCTATAACAAAGTGACGTATTGACTGTTCCTCTTAAATAGTTGAGAATTCACTTTACCGCCACTCAATGATGCCTATCTTGATTGCCCATATACCTGTTGACTACTCTCACTGCAAATGCAAAATCTAGTTGGGTACAAATTATCGCTACATCAAACTTCTAACTGCTGAAGCATACATAGTTCTCTCCATTTGTGCTTGCTATGCTTCAAAGTTTGGTGATAGCTCCTTGATAGTTTGAAGTAACCACCTAAGGGAGTGCAAACTGGTTTCACCTCACTCATATTGAATATTTGTAGGATCCTCTCAACATACTCCGCTCGAGACATCTTTAGTGTTCCTGCGCCCTTGTCCCTGCTGATTCTCATCCCGAGGATCTTCCTGGTTGGATCTAAATTATTCATCTTGAACTCACTTGATGACTGTTTCTTCAAGTCCCTGATTTTCTCTCTATCTATCCCTGCAATCAGCATGTCATCCATATAAAAAAAAAAAGCAAAATAGAACAATTACTGAAGTGTTTGATGAAACAACTGTGGTCTGTCTGGCACTTCAAGTGCCCATTGTCTAACATGAACCTGTCAAATCTCTTGTACCATTGTCTCGAGGTCTGCTTCAAGATATATAAGCTCTTCTTCAATCTACAAACCACATTTCTCACCTGAAACGTTATAACATTGTGGTTGCACCATGTATAGCTCCTCCACTAGATCTACATGTTAGAAAGTTGCTCTTACATAAATCTGCTCAAGATGTACATCTTCCTCTACTATCAGACTCAGCACAACCCTGACAGTCGTCATCTTCACCACTGAGGAGAAAATCTCTGTGTAATCCACTCCTTCCTTTTGCTAGAAACCCTTTACAACAAGCATTATCTTGTAGCGCTTGCTCCATCTGGCTCCTCTTTCAGCCTGTAGATACACTTGTTGTGCACTGCTCTTTTGCCATTTAGTAGAATTGTCAAATCCCAAGTTTAATTTGACTCCACATATTGCATTCCTTCATTCATGGAGAGCTCTCACTCCTTTGAATCTTCAACTTGAGTGGCCTCCTCAAAACGCTTTAATTCAACACTATTAGTTAGTAATAAATAGTGTAAAGAAAGAGAATACATTTGTATGGGTTGTTTCACTCTGCTGGATCTCCAGAATTCTGTGGTAGGCGACTAGGGGTGTAAATGAGTCAAGCTGACTCACAAGCCGGCTTGAACTTAGCTCGTTTAAGTTTGAACCGACTCGCAAGGCAACTAGTAACAATCTTCTGCAACCTAGAAACCAGACTCAACATTGTGCTCTCCAATATAAAGATATATCCCGTTTTATTTCTCCTACTGCCACATATCCTATCAAATCAGAATCTACAAAACCCTATAGACCGATCCATGCACTTCTATAGCAAAGTACACTGTTGACTGTTCCTCTCAGATACCTGAGAATTCACCGTTGACTGATTCTCATCTCAAGAATCTTTTTAGTTTAACCTAAATCATTCATCTCAAACTCACTTGATAATCGCTCATTCAAGTCACTCATTTTCTTCATATCTTCCCCTGCAATCAACATGTCATCCATATACAAAAGAAGCAAAATATAGCAGTTACCGAAGTGTTTGATGAAGCAACAGTGGTTTGTATGGCACTTCATGTACCCATTGTCTGACATGAACCTGTCAAAGCTCTTGTACCATTATCTCGGGGCTTGCTTCAAGTCATAAAAGCTCTTTTTCAATCTGTAGATCAAACCGGAATATCTTGGTTTCTAGTCCTGTCCTTGTACATCTTCATTTCGTTGAATGTGACATCCCTATTTTTGATGAATTTTTTATTCTGATAATCTCAGAATTTGTATCCAAACTCAATTGAGTCATATTCAATGAAGGTGCACTTGCCATACTTTGAGTCAAGCTTTCTCTTGAACCCTGCATCGACATGAGCAAATACATAACACCCAAATACTATTAAATGAGATAGACATACATTTTTGTCACTCCAATCTTCTTAAGGTAAGTCTTCCTCCAAAGGTACTGATGAATTACAATTTATCAGATAAACAGATGTGTTTATTGTTTCTGCCAAAAATTATTTTAGCAAGCATGCATGAAGTCTCCTTCGTGCTTGCTCTGTGCATGAGCTCAGCCACACCATTCTGCTGCGATGTTCTTGGTACAGAGAACGCATGTCTGACCCCTATTTAGCAAAGAAATTCTTGAACTTCTAATCATGACACTCACCCCAATTATCTGATCTGAGACACTTCAGCTTCGAGTCTGTCTCATTCTCTACAATAACCTTTCATTTTTTAAAGACTTCAAATACATCAGTTTTTTTGTTTTAAGAAATAAACTCATATTTTTTTCATGTGATCATTAATGAACGTGACAAAATAGCGAGAACCTCTAAATGACTGAACTGGAGTAGAACCCCATAAATCTGCACTAACTTCAGTTTCTTTGATTTCACCACTGACCCGCACTTAGAGAAAGAAATATTCTTCTGCTTGCAACAAATACAGTCTTCACAGAAATTTAGAACAACTGATTTCATATCTGAAGCTTATTTTTCGAAAGTAGGTTGCTCATACGGTCAAGCTTACGGTGTCACAGACATGAATCCACCCTAGTTCCAACCACATCAATGAGTCGTTTCATCAACCAGATAAAGGATGTCTTCAATATTTTCCCCAAGCCATCACCAATACCCTCTGGTCACCTTCCACAAATCACCTATGAAAGTATTCATGAGTCCTGACTTTATCAGCTCGCTCACAGAGATGAGATTTCTCTTCAAACTTGGAACACGTCTAACTTCTGTAAACATCCAGACTATACTATTCAACAACTTAATATTAACATCGCCTTTCAACTATACTGCAAGCATTGTTATCTCCCAGATAAACCTTCCATAAATGACTCTGAGTGTAGTGTTGAAATACTTCTTTATTAGGGCAAGCAAGAAAAAGGCACCTAAATCCATTATCCAGGATTCAATGTTGACTATGGATAATATCAACGAGTCATTTTGAATTTCACTTGTGGAGATTTTAGTAAAGAAACTACTTTCCCATTCTCTATCACCAGCTTTCCTTGGAGCTTTGCAGACCTTCTTAAAATGCTCTTTCCTATCACAGGTCCAACATTCTCCTCCGCTTGACGTGGGTTTTCTGTTATTGGACTTGGATCTGTCTCTGCTTGTATTCTTACCCAGATTTCTTCCTCTGTTATCAGCATTCAACGCAGAACCTGAAAATTCAACATTCGCTGCTTTTCTGCGAACTTCTTCATTCAACATTAGACCCACGATATCATTGAAATTCAACTTTGAAGTCTTTGATGAATTACTCAGCTTTCCGGTAATGAAGATAGTATCACCAGTGCTCTGACCTGATTATCAAATTTGATCCCCACATAACACAATTAGATCATCACAGTGTTGAAGTTATGGAGATACTCTGTCACTGAACTGTCTTCCACCAACTTCATGTTGAATAATTTCTCCATAAGAAAACCTTATTGGAAGCATAAAGTTTTTCGTATATCTTGGTCAATGCCGTCATGAGATCCACCGTAGTTTTCTCATTCAGAATTTTAAACGCAAACAAATGAGGAAAGTGTCAACCTAATCAAACCAAGTGTCATTCGATCCAACACTTTTTATTCCTCATAGGCATAGACTCAGGCTTCCTTGTGATTCCTTGTAGTGGCAAGTATAACTTTTTATGATACAACGAATCCTTTACCTGTACCTTCCAGAAAGCAAAGTTCGTCCCATTGAACTTCTCCACTTGAACATTGATTCTTCAGTCATTGCTCCCACTCGAATCAAACCCCGCTCTGATATCAGTTTGTTAGGGAAAATTACTGCGAAAGAGTCCTTTTAATTTTGTCGCTGAATAGGATCATAAGGTTCGAGAAAATCGAAATAAAAATTAAACACAGAAGCACAATCAAAGCAACGAGAAAAATACACAAGGGTTTGATGAGAAAAATTCCAAAAACTAGAAAAACCCACTGAGTCACACCACCAAAAATTTTGCTATGAAATTCAGAAAATTTTACAAATGTCTCATACAAGTTTCTTCTCAACACTCACATGAAGAAACTTTACATGACTCACATCAACAATCTTTTCTCTCCAATTCGATGCAAAAAATCACGTCGAATCACCTAAATCCACCTCTTTGACACTCCTCACCTTCACCAGAATACTCGTCGAAGAATTCAAAAAGAATAAAACATCAAGCTCACCGATTCACGCTCCAAATATGACTTAAAAACTAATTTTTCGTGTAGTAATCGCACCGGTCGCCAAGCGCTCTGTATCGGTACCCTATAATGGGCGCCAAAACATCAATAGACAGACGCCTATGTGGCGGTCTCTCAGGAATAACAGCACTCTATAGTGGACGCATATGTAGCCAAAGCCTCCTCTGTTCGAGCAACACCAATGTGGGCTGTTAAGCCCCCACAACCTGACATACATGCATTGGGTACCTTGTGCTTAAGCTCCACAGCCAACATCCTCACCTTCACCAAGATGTTCGTCAAAGAATTCAAAAGAAAGAAACAAGTTACAGGAAACCTGCTCAAAATTGGCTTAAAAAACTAATTTTTTATGTATTAATCACACTGGGCGCTTAGGCGCCCAAACTTGGCTCCTAAGCGCCAAGTGTTCTGTATCGAGGTGCCAATAAACCGGTGTCTATGCGCCAGTCTCTCAAGAAAACAAGCGCACCCGCACAATGTAGGGCGGTTAGGCGCCAAATGATAGGCGCATAGGTGCGGACCTTTTTGTTTCAGAGCGCTTGACCGCCCATGGATGGCGCCTAATTGCCAACCTTAAATGTTGCTTAAAATGCTTCGGCTCCACACTACAAAACACCTATGTGGTGCTTTAGCTAAGAAAAGACTATAAATAACAGCAAATTAGGCAAAACGAATACCTTGAAATGACAGTCCTTTGCCCAACTGTTCCAGCTGACAAAGCCCACATGTCGTAAATGATACCACTAATCAGAGTTATGTATTCCATAACCATGACTAATGAGCGTATCTGCTATCACTCTCCTAGATTCATCGCGTAGTACTTCAGCATTTTTTCCTTCTAAGGGTTTGTGTATAACAACTTTAACTGATCCTGAATTCAAAATGCCTTCCATTCCTGCAGGCATTAGTTTTCTGGTGCCCAGAAGGGTAATTGGAACTACAGGTGCTTCTGTTTTGGCGGCGACAGTAAAGGCTCCTTTCTGCAATATTACAAAAAAAAAGGGATCATTACATGACAAATTCATAAACTATTTGTAAAATATAGTCATCTAAAAAAATGGGAGGATTTGCATACATAGAACCCAATTCTTATGTATTTACATATGTAAAACATAAACTTAATTTTTACATATATATATCTCACCATATCTATGCATGGAAAGGTGTATTGAACTTTTAAACTGTTAAAATAGTGTATGTTTATGTGTTATTTGCATCTGTAAAACCTAAACTTAATTTTTACATACATATATGTCACCATATCTATGCATGGAAAGGTGTATTTAACTTTTAAACTGTTAAAATAGTGTATGTTTATGTGCTATAAAAGAATTGGGTGGTATGAAGCAAAAAGTAATGTTCAGGTTTTAGATACGTAAATGTATAAGAATTGAGTGGTATGCATGTAAATGTCTCCTCAAAGTATTTATCTCCATCTACTCAACTTTCCCACCTTAAATGCGCCTAGTTTGCCATCCTTACTCCGAGTACCCTCAGGAAAGAAAAACACAGATGCTCCTTTCCTCACACAATCCATGCAGCGTTTAAGACATTCCTGCAGTAATATCAGTCAATGTATGAGAATTTATCCAAGAAAAAAGCGTAGAAGTCAAAGCCTTTGAGAATAAAAATTCATCATCGGAGTAACTAAATTCATCACACGCCCACAGAACACATGATGGGCATCGCCTGATTAAAATATATATCTTAAGGATTTCGCTTTTTTCAAGATTATGAGTGCAATCAACCCCCAAATCTGTTTCAAGCTTTGTGATTTAACGCAAAAGGAGAGACAGAAAGAAACCATACCAGCTGACTCCTACTGTCCATGCGCCGAAGAGGAATGAGGCCCATAAGGAACATTGCCCACCCTATGATCGGGAAAAGAAAAATACTTGTCTTGCTTATGAACTTAAAGCACCGTCCCAGAGTCAGAAGAGTGTATGTGTCCAAGAAGCTCTGGTGATTGGAAACATAAACAGCAGGAGCATCACAAGCGGGTAAATTATCTAAACCCTCAAACTCAAACCTATAGAAAGCAGATATAGTCAAAGTTGCCCAAATTTTCGCAATCGTGTGATGAACTCTTCTCTTGTACCGATCCAAGATCATTACAAAAGGGTGCACCAGCATCATTAACACGAAGAGGGGAATCGCAGTCATCGCAGTAACGGCGTAAAAGCAAATTCCACGGAACTTCGAACCCAAATGAACGCCTGAAAACAGGAGACAGAGCGGAGGAAATGAAAATTGTAATAAATTTCCCAAAAGTAATTAATGATTCGAGGGATTACCTGCAAGAGAAATCCTATCATCGCTAGAAGAGCTGGCTGTTGCGATTTGTGACATGGCGATTACATTTCTTTGAATCTTCCGACGGCATTTCAAGGGAAATAAGCGAATCAGGCCGGTGTGTTCAAGCTTATCGGTGAATTGGTATCTCGAAAACCCTAGAATGGCGGCAATAAAAGACCACGGTCCCCCCACAATAATAAGTAAAAGAAAATGAAAAGATCGTTTAAACCAAAGGAGTTACCATCGTAGGAGCTGCAATTTCTTTGCGGAGTTGAGGGGATGGAATGATTCCCTTTGACGTGCATGACAGGAAGCGCGGTGTCGATTTTAAACACAGATAGCGTATCCATTCTTCTCGTAAGACTGAAAACTGGAGAACGAAGCTTGACGATGACTACAGAGCAGGCGGGCACTCCGGCTTTAGATGATGACTACAGATCAGCTGTATTTTAGACAGCATGACAAAAAATTTACAACTTCGGGACGTTTATAAGTGCTCTATTTGTGCTCAGTTTCGTGCGGCCCCAGCTTCTCAGTTTTAGCTGCGCTCCCTAGTAAGCTGATTATCTGTTTGGTACAGCTGTGCGAAAATAGTTGTGAGACAGCTGTTTCTGAAATAATTATCATGCTACCTCTGTATAGTAAAATAATTTAAAACAAAACTGTGGCATTGACATTTTTGATACTTCTGAAGCATAATTTCACTTTTAAACAGTTCAAATAAGGATAAAAAATTGAAAAAAGTTTAAAACAGAAATGTGGCAATGACATTTTTGATATTTTTGAAGCAGAATTTCACTTCTAAACAGTTCAAAGAAGGAAAAAAGAACGTAAGTAAAAAAAAAAGTAGAAATAATAAAATAGAATTAACAAATAATCACAAAAAAACTATAGATAGAAGTTTCGAACAACTGATGTAATCTCTTTCAAATGCTACCAATGAACCACTGATTGAAGAAACTTCACAAATCGCCCACAACAAAATTAAAAATAGGTACAGTCCATCATTCTTTCACCAACAACAGCTTATCTCACTCAAGCCACACGTTGATAGATCAAGTTCCATATTTAAAAATACTATAGAAAACATTCAAATTTAAGAATAAGTGTCCCGGTCAGATCGTAAGCATAAGAGTCCCCACATTTGGAATATGGAGACTTTACTAATTTTGTTCAATCAAGATCCGACCACCACTATGAAATTAAAACCTTCTTGAAATTAATAAAGAGAAAAGCATTCTAACATTAGTAAAGCCACCACTACGAAGCTTCCACATAAAAATTCAGAACATACCAGTGTGATTGCAATTACTTAAAGCCTTCTTGAAACTGATTTACTGCTTCATAGAAGGTTTTAGCTAGCCTTAGATTGGAAAATGATTTTTTTTAGAGATCATGTGTGCTTTATGTTAAAAATGAGCAAAATAAAAGAGGAAGATAAACAAATGAATGCAAGCAAATAAACAAATGAATGCAAGCAAAAAATGAATGCAAGCAAAAATCATTTTTGGTCGTAATGATCCACATTTGATCATGACGAGAGGGGCTCGAAAACAAGTAAAGAAGGAGGAGAGACCTGGTCGAGAGGAGCTCGAAGGCTCTTTTCACGGATCATGGCGAGAAGAACTCGAAAACAAGTGCAGAGATTGGCTTTAGGATTATCTGGTCGAAGGAGTGCCCTTCACGCAGCACCGTCCTGGTCGAAGGCGAGAGGCGGGAAGGCGCGAGAACAAGATGGAATGCTAGGGCAAGTGTGACATTTTGGAATATTTAGCGAGCGAAAGCTGGGACTGCGGGGCCGATCCTGCGACCCGCTTTTGCATCCTTCCGCCGCAAAGCCGAATTCCAAAAAGTGGATTTTCGCGGCTTTTTGCAGCTTGGGGCCGCGCCGCTTAAAAAAGAAGGCCCCAAACGGAGCCTAAGAATTATTGGGGTTGGTCGAACCTTCAGAGGTTTGGGAGTTCCACCCAAGGGGAGGGGGGAGGGGGGAGTGGGGGTCTATTCCTAATTATCCTATATATATTTTATTTATATTTGTTTGTGTCTAAGTTTAGTGTTTGTTGTGTTCATTCTGAGATAATTGTCGGCATTTCCCTTTTCTCTTATAGGGATGTATCCAAGTGTTTTGAGTGGTGCTCTGACTGCTCATTCCTGAGGTAGTGTTATCCTTCCTATACCCTTCCATATCTGTTCTTGGATCATTTCTCTTCACCTTCTCCCTTGTAACCTTGCTACCACACCCCGAACAACCACCTGTTGTTGTCTAGCACTTCCATCCTCACCGCCATCAACTAGAAACATTATACATGTTGTTTCCTCCAACCTAGGGCAACCTACCTAAAACAACAACCCTATCATGTTTCCTCTTTTCCTGCCAACCACCGCCAACCCAGAAATAGCTGTTATGGTTTTTTTTTCCTAACTTTAAGTCCCTAATATATCTAATTTTTGTTTTATAGTTTTTTTTTTCCAAATAATTTTTTTTCTTAGATCATCAAAGTGATTCAAAGAATATGGGAAATCATAAAGGGATTAAAAAAATAAGAAAACTAACAAACAAACGAAAAAAAAATGGAAAACCTCTATAAGATAGCTTTACTCTGCTTTTGAAATAAAATCACAATTTATCCAGGTGTGTTTAAATTTCTATGTCTATTGTCATTCTTATTACTTTTGTATATGTTGAGAATAGTTTTACCCATAATAAAAGATCTCTCGCATTTGAACTTTTCTATGACTGTAACTATTTTTGAGCCATGACACATTAATGGTAACTTCAATTTTATTAGAAAAATTGATAAGAAAGTTGTTGCACTTTTCCTCATTCCTAAGAAATTTGTGGACTAAAGTACTAATGTTTTGGATGCTAGTCTTTCTAAAATCCCTAACACTAGTTTCTTCTTCAGTTGGTTTAATCAACTAAAAGATAACTCAGCCAGATGTTTTCTTGATCGAGCTTTTGGTAACAATCAGTGACTTTATGTTTTTCCCCTTTCATGTTATAAAGTCATGCAGGCCTTTACATTTTATAGCACTTTAATACTTATCTCCCTAAGCACTAACTTTACTCCTAAATGTCAATTCATATATATGAATTAATGGCAGTGTTGTGTTGATTTTTGCAATATCATTACTACTACATGAAACATCTATTTTGAGCAAGAACCCATCCTTACCCTTGGGAATAAATTTAAAACTATTAAACAAGGTCTTCTCAATACTAAATGGGCATCTTATAATTTCATTAATAACTCTATCAGAGATTTAAAGGCTTCTCAAAGAGTTATTCTTCAAGCTTTAGACTCAAGCTCTTTCTAGTGATCTGCTTTATCAAAGTATTCATGTTCAAAAATTTCTTATTGAAGCTAATTTTTTGTAAAAGCTCTTAGATTAAACAAAGACTAAATTCTATTAGCTCACTAAAGGAGAGTATGAGTATAATGTTAAATTTTTATACCAATAGATTAAAAATAAAGACAATAAGATTAGGAATTAAATCAAAGAGTTTCCAATGTTTGTATTATACTTAGAAATACATTGCTTAGGAAGCCATATAATACTTCTTTACTTTGCTTTATTGTCCCTGTTCCACTTCCAATATGGCCCTCCACATACCTATGGGTTAGGCTTTGCTACATCAAGATTGCAATGTGTTACTTTCTAAATTTGAAATGAGGATATAAAAAATGCTCTTTTTTCACATAGGAGCTAACAAATCCCCCGACCTAGATGGCTTCAATTATAAATTCCTTAAACATACATGCAAAATTAATGTTGCTGGCTGCATCAAAGTTATCAAATACTTTTTAATATCCTCTAAGATTCTTGAGAGAGCAAGCATTTTTCTCTAACCATTATTCTTAAGAGTTTAAATTCCCAAGAGCTTAATGATTATAGACCTATTTCACTATGCAACACTAGTTATAAGGGCATTGTAAAGCTCATACATATAGGATTAAAGGCATTTTACCTACTATTATTATTTCAACTCAAGATACCTTCATATCTAAAAGAGATATAGTTAATAACATTTTTTTGGCCAATAAATCTCTTTAAGTATTCAACTCCTCTAATCACCCTAAAGATTTTGATCCAAAATCAATCTTAGGAAAGCTTTTGATTAAGTCAATGAGAGCTTCATTTATGATAGAATGGGCAACATAAGTTTTTTTCCTTCAAAATACTTTGATTGTATTAAAGCTTGTACTATAAACATGCATTTCTCTATCATTGCTGATAGTGAATTGAAGGGCAATTTCACCTTTACTTCAGTTCTTATATAAGGCTTTCCTGTGCATCCTTATGTCTTCACTATTTCCATGGACGCCTCCTCTACACTTCAAGATCAATCTAAGTAGTTCTATAATATGAGTAATATCCATGGTAGCATGAGCCACCTCATTTATGCTAATGAACTTCTTATTTTTAGAGAAGCTAATCAAAATGAGACTAATTGCTTGGCTCAAAGCCTCCAAGCTTTCTATGAGAGCTCCAAGCTTTCTATCAAAATGAGACTAATTGCTCGATGTTCTCGACCAGCTTGTGTTCGGCTCGTTTTGGCTCGAAGTACTACTAATCAATTATATATATATATATACATCTTTGATGAGTAGTATTTATAAAAAAATTAATTGACTGCAAGACCATAAAGATTTATAATCAATTAAAAGTATTAATAAAAAAAAGAGCATAAAAATTATTAATTTAGATTCAAATGATATTTTAAATTTTGCCCAAATCCTTAACATCTTAAGACTACGTGATAAAGGTTGTCAAAACGATTTTTTGTTCGTAAACGGCTCGTGTTCGGCTTGCGAAGCAAACGAGCCGAACACGAACACATTTTTTGAGCTCGAAATATAAATTAGCCAAATACGAGCTAACATCGCTCGTGTTCGCTCTTGTTTGGCTCGTTTACACCCCTAGCTGCTCCATCTATGATTTATGATGAGGCTAAACTGCTTTTAACTATTTGGTTTAAATATTTCATGCGTATTGTTAAAAACAGATTAATGACAAAATGTTGCACTTTGATTCATTTTAATTATATGGTATGAATATTTTATTTTCACTTTATGGAATGCTTTATTTGAAAAAAAGGCTTTTATAGGAGATTAGATGGAATTATGTTTTGGAATTTAGAATAATAATGATGGAGCTTGAGTCTTCTATAAGAGATTAGATGGTGATGATGCATTTGATTTAAGGAGAGGCTTTTTAATGGAAATGCTAACCTTGAGGGACGTATATTGTTACCTTAATTTTGAGGGTGGATGGATTATCAATTTTGGACTCATGCTTATAGGATACTATTCTCCAATCTTATAGGGAAGGTGATCAATTTGTATCACTAGACATAGCCCCATATTTGATGTTCCATATCAAACATGACCTAATGCTTACTAAGGATTGATGGTCGACGTCTACCAACCATTGATGCGAAATGC